AGAAAGCCCACCCCAGGAACAGAGTTGGCAGTACCTTAATCTTGTACTTCTAGCTTCCAGGAAGGGAAAAAAATAAATATCTGTTGTTTTAGATTGCCCAGTCTATGGTAATTCATCTTAGTGGCCAAGCTACAACATGGCAGATGTCTGCAGAGTGAGTTCTGCTCTTCCCCAAGTTAATGGAAAGGTCACTAGCTGCCAGACATGTTCCTATATTTCACTTAGACCATCTATGTTCCAATCATAACATTTATATACAGCACAGGTCTCCACTGAAGGATGACAGGCCATCCTTGGCTATATAGTGAGTATGAAGCCAGCCTGGGACACATGAGACCCTGTCTCAAAAACAGACAGACAGACAGACAGACTAACAAATGGAGAGCAACAACGACAAGCCCTCAAACCTACCATCATCCAACAAAAAGCCTGGGAGAGTTCAGCTGGTAAATTACCTGGCAAGCATCCGTGAAATACTCGGTTTAAGCCCCAGTATTGAATGAACTGGGCATGGTGGTGCCTATCTGTAACTCTAGTATGCACGTGGAGGCAGGAGTTTTAGAAAGGAAGGAAGAAAGAAAAGAAATAATGGCCTGTGGAGACGGCTCAGTGGATAGAAAGCCAGGCAAGCCTGATGGCCCCAATGAGATTCTGGGACCCAGAGTGGAACGAGAGATCCGAGCCCTGGAAATTATTCTCTGGCTCCACATGTGTGCTACAGGATTCATGGAGGCTCTCCCGTGCAAATCCCACCCACACAGTAATAACCGATAACAAATAACAAATAACATTTTCTCTTAAGAAGCAATCCTGACAGCCATGTGTCCATCTGTCACATTTAGCAGCCCCCAACTGTCCATCTTACCACCTATACCAAGGCTGATTGAGCCAGGAGGTGCCTTCCGGGGGTTTCTGCGAGCCCTTGCCTAGCTGTGGAGTTACTGTGGCGTGTTAGATGTGGAAGGTTCCTGGGATGAACACTTACTATGTCCTTCTCTCCCTGGGTCCAGAGGGAATCTCAGTTTGGGTGTGTGTTGGTTTTTTTTTTCTTTCCATGTATGTATGTATGTATGTATGTATGTATGTATGTATGTATTGACAGAATCTTACTATGTGGACAAATGGTCTCACACTCATAGAGAGCCTCCGGACCCTGCCTCCTGACTTTTGGGATTAAAGGTCTGTCCTAACACACATGACTGTAGAGATCGGTCCTTGTAGACTAATTATCAGATATGAGTCCCTATGATTAGTTGTGCCACACGACTTAGACCAACTGTCCCATACATATAGGACATACTGACACCGTAAGTTTATGTGTGTGTGTCTGTGTATGTGTATGTATGTGTGAATGTATGTGTGTATGTGTGTGTCTGTGTGTCTGTGTGTGTGTATGTGTATATGTTTGTGTATCTGGTGTGTGTGTGTGTATAATCTGAAAATTCCAATGTAACTACAGCCTGTACTTTCACTTCCTAAGGCTAACAGGCTCACCTCCTAGCACCATGAATCAACCCCAGCTTGAGCCTGTTGCACCCTACCCTTTCCCATCACCTGCACTGGGCACCCCACAGACTGTCTCTGACCTCAAAGCTCCAAACCACAGGTCAAGGGCCTTCATTTCCTGTTGCAATGGCTTGTCGGCCCAGAGTGCCCCAAATCAACATTGCTTCTTTCCTCTAGTCTGATCCTGAGCTGGCCGGCAGCTCAGCTTGCTGAATATGCAGTCCCGTTGGATATGTCTGAGGCCAGCTGAGTCCTCTCTGACCTCTGGAAGACCCCAGGACTTGCTGACAATACTAAGCTTTGACTAGAATGACCATTACTTGCCACAAGATTATGACCCCAAAGGGCAGAGATGATAGCTCTCTCTAATGATGGTGTCATCAAGCATGATGCTTTGCACACTTGGCTGCCCAGTGAGTGACCGCTGACCTTAGACAGAGAGACAGTCACCCAACGAATTGAGGAAGAAAGAAATTTGCAAAAGACGCGGGGCAGAATAATGGGGGAGGCAAAGAAAATGTTGAGTCAGACAGAAAGTCATATGGTGTAGCACTGCACAATGAAAATGGGCTTCCTCTTTGAATACTGTGTCCCCACACCCAATTTCCTTGAACAAGGATGTCTCACTAAAGTTGCAGGAAAGCTGGGGGGCAGAGGCTTGGCAGGAGTTCCAGCCAGCAAAAAGCCCTCAAGAGGAACCGGGGATCCTATGAGAAGACTTCTAGGCCACACAGGACAGCAATGTCAAGTGGTGACATTTAATCTCCAGATCTAGATGGGACTGAAAGGTGTGGGTAGTCTATCCTGAATGGGGGGTAACATCCATGGGCTGGCTCCTAAACTGACTAAAAAGGACGGAGAAAGCTTTCTACACTCAGACAGCGGATACAACTCGACGGAGCAGCTTCATATTCCTGGGGCCATGCCTTCCCCTTCATGATGGGCTATGTTCTCGCTCACTGTGAACTCAAATAAACCCTTCCTCCAGTTCCTTCCTTGGTCCCAGCAATGATAAAGTAGTGAATACATATGTATTCTTGAGAAATGACACTATCATCAAACATCGTTCAGACTTGCTTTCTCTGTCACTATTATCTATCATAAGTGGGTATGGTGGTACACGTAGCACTCTGGGAGGAGGGCACATGTAGGTGAATCTCTGCTCAAGGCCAGCCTGTTCTACAAAATGAGTTCCTGGCCAGCAAGGGCTACATAGTGAGACTCTGTCTCAAAAACAAACAACCTCACAAAAACAAACAAGAACCAAAACCAAAAAAACTATCACAGTCACATGTCGCATGGGGTCAAGTCAAGATGGTTTAATTCTAAAGTTCCCGGCAAATAACTTGTGCAGTTTTTTTTTAATTGTTTTGCTTTTTTTGTTTGTTTTTGTTTTTTGAAACAGAGTTTCACTTGTAAGTACTGGCTGGCCTCGAACTCACAGAGATCTGCCTGCCTGTGCCTCCCAAGTGCTGGAATTAAAGGCTTAGGCCACCATGTCTGGCTTTTTGTGCAGTTTTAAATGTAACAGATCTCTTTGTCCACACCACTATTGATTTCACCTCAAATGAAAGGCACAATCTTTCTGAGTGGGAAGAAGCATTAAATATTCACTCCCTAGACAGTCCTTCCATGATGATAGCTGGAGCCCAGTCTGTCTTGATTGGCACTGAGCTTTGTTCCTAAGTAGAGTCCATTCGGAGAACAGAAGCTTCTGCTACAATGTTACAAGGACCAGCGAACTTGTGCTAAGTACCAACCTTGCTACAATGTTACAAGGACCAGCGAACTTGTGCTAAGTACCGACCTTGCTACAATGTTACAAGGACCAGCGAACTTGTGCTAAGTACCGACCTGGTATCTGGTACTGGACTGAGATTTCAATTGCTCAATACAATCACCATTACACCTTCCTGAGACAGTGTGAGAGAGAGCTCCCCCACCTACAAATGAGGAAATGGAGGCACACAAGGAAGCCATTTGGAAGCACTAGAGGCAGAATTCAACCAACTCCAAAGTCTACCATCTTTATGGGAGTACACGGTGTGGTTGTATATGTGTGTTTGGGTGCATATGTGCATGCAGATGTTCATGAGTAAGCACGAGGGGGTCAAAGGTTGATGTTAGCTGTCTTCCTTGCTTGCTCTCTACCTTATTTTTGAGACAAGGTCTGTTACTGAACCAGAAGCTCATCGATTCAGTCAGGCTGGACAGCCAGTGCGTGTCAGGGATCCTCCTGTCTCCTCACCTCCCACAGTACTGGGATTATAGATGCATACTATCATGCCAAGCTTTTCACTGGGGGCTGGTACCTGGGCTGGGATGTGAGCTCAGCTCCTCATGCTTGAGACAAGCATGTACCAACTGAGCTATCTCCCTAGGCCCCCGAAGTCCATCACGTGATGATCACTCAATATACAGAGAAAGAGGCTGCTGGAGAGATGGCTCAGCAGTTGAGCTGTTCTTGTCGGACCCATAATTGGTCCGTCCTAGCATCCATACCAGGTAGCTCAATACTGGCTGTAACTCCAGCTCCAGGGAATCTGCCAATGTTTGGATTAGTGATTGATGTGGGAAAGCCCAGCCCACTGTGGGCGGTGCTACCCTGGGGCAGGTGGTCCTGTGGTGTATCAGAATGCAGACTGAGTGAGGCCAAGAGCTTCAAGCTGGTAAGCTGTGCTCCTCAGTGGCCTCTGCATCAGTTTCTTCTTCCAGGTTCCTGCCTCGTTTCCCTTCATGATGGACTGTGATCAGGATGCTTAAGCCAAATAAACCCTGAGTGCCCCCAAGTTGCCTTTGGTCAGTGTTTTATCCCAGCAACAGGAAGCCAAGGAAGGCAGTCAGTCTGTCTGTTAGTTTGTCAAGCAAAAGTCACAGACCACTCTAACACTAGTATGATCATTTGCATATGCATCTCCCTCATGTAAAAGTCCTTCCCTCCACCAAAATGATAGTGTCTTTAATACCACATTGTGAGACACTCTTTTATTAGAGTGAACTCTTACCAATAAAGCAGTCAGGCTATATAAAAAATTGCAAGCTGAAATTAATTATGTAAAGTGACTATTAAGGCATTTTGAATTATATTAATATTCTTTTTTTTTAAGATTTATTTATTTATTATATGTAAGTACACTGTAGCTGTCTTCAGACACCCATATGAGGGCATCAGATCTCATTGTAGATGGTTGTGAGCCACCATGTGGTTGCTGGGATTTGAACTCATGACCTCTTGAAGAGCAGTCAGTGCTCTTAACCGCTGAGCCATCTCTCCAGCCCCTATATTAATATTCTTAAAAAAATGAGAACACTTAGCTTATATATGTAAACACTTAATTATATATATGTAAAATTATAGAATAGCCTACATTTAAATATTTCTGATTCTGAATTATTCCTCTTTTTAAAAAAATTGCTACATCTATAAGACAAATATGAAGAAGATTCCAATTAACATCACAGGCGGAATATTTTTGAAAATTAAATGTACTTACGGTGTATTCTGATTCCAGACGTTTCAGATGGCAAAGAGGGAAAAGAAAAGGAGAGAAAACAGTGAGTTAGACCAGGTCTACGGAACACAACCATACGAACAACAGTTCCTGACAAGTTAAAAGTATTAAAATGAGCTAAAAAAAACCTCCCAAAACTATATTTCTCTAACTACTGAATGCCTCTGTGTTTCATGGTATTCCTGCAGTTGGCCGAATCAGATCAGTTAGACAAGATTGAATTAGCCTATAGGTTTGGGGCTAATTAAAAACCCAAGTGTTGGCATTGTATAAACAGAATGAAAGGCTAATAATTCCAGTAGAACATTTCATTAACCACAGAGGAAATCTTTTCAGTGATTTTTCTCTTTTTCTTATTTTTCTTGTTAACAATTATAAAGAACTTTGCAAAGATTCTGAAGTGGGGTCCTGAGACCCCAAAGTATCTGAGGGCTACAACACGAACTTCAGAATCTTGGGTGGGGGTGGTTGGATAGGGGTACCGTGCCTGATGCAATATTCAGAACAGAGAGCATCATAAAGAAGAGGCACCGAAGATTTCCACATCCTCTGAGAGGACTGAGAAGCTCTGCAAAACAGCAACAACCCAGCTGAACAACTAGTCTGTGGACAGAGTATAAGGAACCTATCAAAGAGGAGACCCCAGGATGGGCCCCATGGAGAGAGTCTGCCCTCACCCAGTGAATTTCTATACACCCAGCCCTGTGCTTGCTGTAGGCGGCTGACTGTCCTGAGAACTTACCTGTGATGGTGTATGGGTAATAATTCCACGCCTTCTCAGTCACATAAAATATTTTGGGAACAACAGCTCTGGCCCAACTAGGCAGTTTGCTGAAAAAGAGAGGAAGGGGAAGAGGCAGGGGGAAGGGAAGGAGAAGGAGAAGAAGAAGAGTAAGAAGAGGAAGAAGAAGAAGAGGAAGAAGAAGAGGAGGAGGAAGAGGAGAAGGAGGAGGAAGAGGAGAAGGGAGAGGAGGAGGAAGAAGAGGAAGAGGAAGAGGAAGAAGAGGAAGAGGAGGAAGAAGAGTGGGAAAGAAAAACAAAAGGGTAGTTAGAGTCTGTCTGGACTTTACTTGACTTCCTGGCTACAAGGCACACTACTGCTAAGGTCCCGTGGCCTCTCTTCCTCCACTCCTCCTTTCTCCGTCTCTGTGGTATTTCCTGGAGTTGCTCATTTTCTTGGACATACTTGGGTATGTGAATGATGTGAATAGGTGCCTACAGCGGGCAGTAGAGGGCACTGGATTCCACGGGGCTGAAGTTCCTGGTGGTTATGAGCACCCTTATTTGAATGCTGGAAACCAAACTCTGGTTCTTGGAAGATCAGCAAACACTCTTAACTGAAGAGCTCTCTTTCCAGCCCCTGACATCCTGATTTTATTTCTCCCCAGCACAAACCAGGACAGCTCAGCCTAGGATGCTAATGTCTAGCTCTTCCTCCCCTGTGATCAGAAACAAGGAGAGCATGAATCATCAGCTTCTTAGACCTCCATGTTAGCAAAGAATATCAAGAAGCAGTTTGAAGGAACTGGCAAGATATGTCAGCCTATAAAGTGTTAGGTGGAGAAGTATGACCATGTGAGTTTAGTGCTCAGCACCCAAGAGAGAAACCCAGGAGCATGCTTACAATCCCAGCACGTGGGGCAGAGACAAGCAGAACCTTGGGGCTGGCTAGCCTGGCAGTCTAGTCTAATAAAGCAAGATCCAGACTAGGAGGTCCTGTCTCAAAAACCAAGGTGGGAGCTCCTAAGGAATGATATTTGAGGTTGGTTCCCACCCCCATGTGCGTACACACACATCCCACAGCCCTTCCTTCACCATGTGTGCACCAAGATGCTATCTGCTATGACTAAGAAATGAAAACTTCAAGCTAACAATGCCCTATGATGGTTAATATGCATTGTCAACCTGACTGGACTCATAGTCACTCATGTGTTTATGTGTGTGTGCGCCTGGTGTGTGTGTTTGTGTGTCTGATGTGTGTGTGTGTGTATGTTTGTATGTCTGGTGTGTGTGTATGTGTGTTTGTGTGTCTAGTGTGTGTGTATGTGTGTGTGTTTGTGTGTCTGGTATGTGTGTGTATATGTGTGCATGTGTGTGTGTACATTTGTGTGTCTGGTGTGTACGTGCATGTGTCTGGTGTGTATGTGTGTGTGTATGTGTGTTGTTTCTGGAGAGGCTTAACAGAGGAGGGAAGATCACTTTGATGTGGGTAGCACCATCCCATGGGCTGGATCCTGGATTGAAGAGAAAGGAATCTGCAAGCACAGCACCAGTGTTCATCTCTGTGCTTTCTGAGGGCAGACACCATGTGGCCATCCGCTGCCCACTCTGCTGCCCTGCCTTCACTGCCATGAAGGATGGTACTGGCCACACTGTGAACCAGAGCAAACCCTTTCTTCCTTCAATCAATTGACAGGTATTTCTCCATGGCAACAAGAAAAGTGACTAACACAAGCCCTGAAATTCCCCTCCTCTGACATGGAATATTAATGAGGAGCAGAGCCAGCAAACCACTGTGTAGCTGGAATGTCGTCTCCAGTCCTTCCTTTCATTTGTTTTTGAGTGAATCCAGACCTAACTTTTGAAAAAGACAAATGTGTATTTTCAATAGCTTCCCAGACCTCACTCAAAGTTATAGGATGTTTACTAGGGTCCAAACAAGTAAAGGTTAAAAAAAAAAAAAAAAACCCTAAGCTCCCCCAAAGCTGGGTAAGCGGAAGTGGTGGGCTTTGCTCTCAGGTGGCCTGTGAGGAGAGAACAGATGCCTTATCATTGCCGAAGTCTGCTCGAACTCGGATTTCTCACTCCTATAAAATTGTCCCTGCAGAAGATGCTCATTACCTTACATTCACACTTCTCAAAGGACGGCTGCTCCCTGACAGGAGCTGTTTATAGTTTCTGCTGATGACTGAGTCCACCAGACGCTGGCACTGGAGTGCAACTGAGGTTGATGCAGAGTAGGGAAATCCCACTGGCTTGCTTGTTGTCAATCACATGAGCCAGACTTCCTCTGGGCTCCTTGTTTGTACCGAGAGCACGGGGCCAGTGGACAGTGGAGGGATGTGTGGGTTCTAGTCCTAGGAGGATTTTCTGGTGCTTTTTTTTTTTTCCTTTTTTTGAAGATAAATTCTCATATAGTCCAGCTGGCTTTGAACTCACTATCTAGTCCATGACCTTGAACTTCTAACTTTCCTACCTCCACCTCTGGAGTAAGAGGGCTGCAGGTATACAGTTCCATGCCTGGTTTATGTGTCACTGGGGATCACACCCCGGGCTTTGAGCATGTTGGGTAGGCATTCCACCGCCTGAGCCACATCCTTAGAACTCTTCTGGTCCTTTTAATGAACAGAGTTGAGCAAAGAACTATTGACTTAGACAAAGTAAGTGCATTTCCCTACAGCCCTGGGCCTGCTTGCCACTGTCATCTTGTGGGGAATGGTTCCATGCTCATTTCAAGTGTCCTCTAATCTACTGGGTGCTCTTCCCATGGACCACCCTGCAGAACTACCATCCTAAGTACCATCATATTGTGGGAGGAAGATAAAAACCATCAGCCAATTTCCATCCTCATTGAGACCGTCTAATTCTACAAATGGCCAGGATGTCAGAACCTAGAGTTTTAATTTTTGCTATTCACCCAACAACTCATAGGAGCAACATAATCAGTTTTTTTTTTTCTGATGTAGTACTCTAAAAACAAATAGTCATTCAGTCAAAGTGAAGTTACAATTCCATGCTAATGTTCTCCTTCAACCCAGACAGATATCCTGGTATAAGTCATTTTCCAGGTCAAAGGCAGGGGCGTTTGTGACAAGCTCGGAGATGTGTTTGCTACAGTCTAGATGTTGTGGTGAGTGTTAACTGTCAGCGGGTGCTGGGCTTGCCTAGAGGGCACTCTCTTGATTGCATTAGCTGACCTGCCCACTCTTGCTGGCACCAATACCTTCCAGAAACCCTAAACTATATAAATGGAGAAAAGGGGCCAAGTAGTGGCTTATGTTCATTCATCTCTATGGATGAAATGTAGCCAATGCTTCAAGTCCCTGCTGCCTCGACTCACCCACCATGGCGGGTTGTATTTTAAACTCTTTCTCAAACTGCTTCTGTCAGCATATTATACCACAGCTCCCCAAGGGCTGGAGAGATGGCTCAGCAGTTAAGAGCACTGGCTGCTCTTCTAGAGGTCCTGAGTTCAATTCCCATCCACCACATGGTGGCTCCCAACCATTTATTAAGAGATCTGAAGTTTTCATCTGGCATGAATCTCTGAATTCTCAGCGACAGAGCACTCCTATATTTAAAAAAATACATTAAAAAAAAAAAAAAGTCCCGCAAAGGCCCTAGTGATGAGGGTGTGGTCCCCAGGGTGGTGCTATTGGGAAAAGTCAAAAGTGCTTCGGGGAGAGGAGGCTAGGTCATTGGGTGGCGGGAGGCAATCTTTTGTGGCAGGGAACATGGAACCCTCGTGCTCTCTTCCTCTTTTCAGTTCCTGACATATGCTGCCCCTCCCCTGCTGACATTTGGCATCTCCACGGATGCTTCGCCCCCCTACCATGTTCCGGAACCTCCAACACTGTAAGCCACAACAAACTTACTCTTTCTAAGTTCATTAGCTCAGGTATTTGATTATGGTGACGGAGAGCTGACTAAGGCCGCGCTATTAAAGTGCCGTTGAGGCCACTAACAGACCTTCTTCCAGCCCCCAGCTTCCCCTGAACACATCATTATTTGAATCATTTTGGTCCGAGAAAGGTGGAATTTATCTTTCCCTGCAGCAATGATTTAGCAGGGCCTGAAAGGAAAATGGAATTAAATTAGTCCCCGCCGCTGTTGTCACTTAAATGATGTACACTGTCACATAGCCCACAATTCTCAGAGAGTCTGTCACTCAAAGTCACTACCAGATGTGAAAGAAGAGGAGGCTCTTTCCTAAGAAGGCAGTGTCTCAATCAAGTCCTTGCTTCACACATGGGCCAGGATGGATCCTCACAATGGCCTGTCTTTGCCTGGAGCCCTAGCAACACTACACTCTGGAATGTGGAAACGCTGGTGCAGGAGACACTGCCTCTGCCTCACTGTCCTTAGATGCCTTTGTCCATGCTCCTTACAGACTTCAAACATGCTCCCTGAATTTGTGTGTGTGTGTGTTTGTGCACGTGTGCGTGTGCTCTCTCCTGTTCAATTGGACATACAGTGACAGTCATGTCTCTGTTTTGTCTCTAGGCTGACCCATTCTCTTCCTCTCCTGTTCACTGCTGTGCACACCAGGCTTACTGGCTCCAGAGCATCTGGGGATTCTGTGTCCAACTAACTCCCACCTTGCCATAACAAAGCTAAGGTTACAGACAAGCCTGTTGTGTCTAGTTTTTTTTTAAATCTGTGTTCAGGTGATCTGAACACAGGTCCTCATACCTGCAGCAAGTGCTGTACCCCACATGCCATCTCCCCAGCCCTTGTTTGTGCTCCTCCTGTGGTGGCTATTTGGCAACACAGACAGGCAGAGTTTATAGATGAGAGTGCCCTCCCCTGTGGGAGGCAGGGCTACTTTAACTTCACATGCAGAAACTATGCAGAACCCAAGTTCCCTGAATCTGAACACAGACAGTGCCCCCATCTTAATGAGACTTTGCATCAGATGTAGGGGGAGGAAGGGGCTAGCCTGGTGCATCAGATGTAGGGAAAGGAAGGGGCTAGCCTGGTACAGACTTTTGGAAGCCTCTGCTGGAACCGCATTAGGCCGTGTCATCAGCAGGCTGGCAGCTTTAAGGAGCCAATTGCTCACATCAGCAGTATCTTCAGGACCGAGACAAATCCACTGGCCCCGTGCCTGCTAGGATGTCACTGGAGCAGTTGGCAGGGAGGGAGGTGACAGAGGGTGGGCAGCAGCAGTACTTTTGACATGTTCTCAAGTTATTCAGATGGGGACAGAATGAAATAGCAGGTGCCAAAAGGCAGGAAAGGAGGAAGTCTGTCACATACAATAGTATTGTTCTATAGCTTTCTATCTCTTTCTTCCCGTATCTGTAAATATACATGTATATGACGCAGCCACGAAGATACTCCCTATACTGATTGTGTGACATGTTATTCACACATTGTATATAGAACATAGAATCTAAAATAATATTCTGATCTATTATAGTCACAGTGTCTATTATAGTGCCGTTATAGAACAGCACTCTGTTCTTCCCAACCAGAACTATGTTGCAGCCCTGGCATCTAGAATGGTATTAGCTGCCATATGTGTATGTGTACATGCATGTGTATGTATATATATGTATATGTATGTGCATGGGCATAAGTATATGCGTGTGTTTGCAGCACTGACTGGAAATGAACCTAGAATCTTGGCATGATATGTAAGTAGCTTTACCACTGACTACATCTCCAGACCCCATAATATTTAGCTCTTGTGAGCCCAGTGCACATGCGTGTCCAAGGGTGGGACATGTGTGAGAGCCAGAGGAGGGTGTGTGTGTGTATGTGTGTGTGTGTGTGAGTGTGTCCTGATCTATCATTCTCCACCTTATTCCTTGAGACAGGGTCACTGAACTTGGAGCCTGGCTGTGACCAATGAGTTCCCATAATCCTCCTGTTTCACTCTCCAGCATTATTACAGTGGGCTACACAGCCATATCCGGCTTTTAATATAGGTGTTGGAACCCAAACTCAATGTTCATTGAGCCATCTCCCCAGTCCTGCAAAATATTTTCTAGTGAATGAGGCTCATCCCTGTATATCTAGAAGTCAGTAATGACCGTGAAGGTTCTCTGAGAATCCATGGAGATAGGCAATTAGGTCAGAGAGTCTGACACTTTCTCTGTCACCTGTTGCCTGGACAGCAGGCTCTCACAAAGCCACACATGCTTCGCTGGGCATGTAGCTGACTCTGGGGATGATCTGGGGGATGGCATTGCTCAGCAGATCTGGAAGAGGTTGGAGCACAGGGAGGGGAAATGGGAAAGAGAAAGACCCAAGCTACGGCAGCAAGAGTTACTGCTGAGTAACAGAACCAGATGGTGATGCTGCACCCTTGGTGAGGAAGGATTGAGGACTTCTAGAAGCTTTGCCCTCTCCTATAAAAGTGGCTAGAGGCTGGAGAGATTGCAGGGGAAGGTCTTCCCACGTGCTGGGAAGAACATGGCTGCTGTCTTTGTGCACATTGAGTCAGGCAGGCAATGGGATCTCCACTGGAAGCTGGTGGTCTTCCTGACAGACAGATGTCATCATGGCCTAACTAATCCTGAAGCCATGCTGTTGGCAAACCCTGAAGAACAGAGGATATGTTACGTACATATCCTATTGCTGAGACACGCCTCTTGCTGAGAAAAGAACCTAAAGCAGTTGTGGCTCACGGCTCAAGGTTTTCAGTTTATCATGGTGAAGACACAGAGGGAGGGAACCTAAGGTCGCTGGAAACGCTGCCTCTGCAGTTAACGTGAAGAACATGGCAAATGCTGCTCCTCATGCAGGCTGGGACCTCAGCCCAGTATGGTGCTGCCCTCATTGAGGACCGGTCTTCACACTTCAATTAACCTCTTAGGTTTACCTAATTCAATCTCCCACAGATGTGTCCAGAGGCTTATCTCTCAGGTGACCTTGGATTCACCATTAAGTGTCACATTCACCTTCCTTGCTACCAGGTGACAGTTTTATTTATAATCACTATTCCAGAATCCGACTAATATTTTGTCTCCTCTCTTGGATGCCAGTTGAAACCAGGGATTATGAAGGTGAGCCAAGAAATGTCGCTTACTTGGTTAAAGGAACCAGACCTAAGGCCCAAGGGCAACCAGCCAGTGTGTTGTGATGATGCTCGTGTGATAGACTTACACATCATAACACACCTAACCCACCAAACCCATCATGTGCTCCAAAATGTCAGTCACACCCAACAGGTCACTTGCCTAGTGAAAAGGGCTGGAGGATGGAATAATCCCGTAGTCCCAGGAAAATGAGAGGGGACTTCTAAGATAACTGGTACCCAACTAGACAGACACGGCGAGAGAAGATATACAGTGGCCAGAGTGTGTAAAGAGATGACTGACACTGTGGTCATGAGAGACCTGCACACCAAAACCACAAGGGTGATGGCACAGTGGGTAAATGTGCTTGCTGCACAACCATGAGGACTTGAGTTCAAATCCCATGAGTCCATGTTGAAAGGTGAGCATGGATGCACAGCCCTGTGTGTAGCTAGTGTACAAAATAATAAGTTTCATCATGAGATTTTCATAT